TCCCCACATGATGCATCTGGTTATTTAATTGCACAGATTTTTCTATGAGCTGGATATTTCAAAATGATACTGCTGACAAGTAAATATGAACAGAAGGATCCACTTGCTTTAATTAGTGCTAGAAATTGAGTTGCATGCATCCAGATAATATCTTGGTGTTATGGTTTAAGAAAGCATTTTTCACATGCCCACTGTTTCATTTTATTGCCTGAAGTTACTGATTAGCTTCATATGATAAATGGGGAGATCAACACTGAAAGATCACAAAGTTAATGTACTGCAAGACCAAAGTCATGGCTTATGCTTAGACTCCTGGCCCAAAAGCCCTCTCCCCATGCTTCCAGCCACTTTCTTGGTAGCTCAGCTACACTATGCAACATTCAGATGGCTATTCCAATATTGAGTGCTGTATCCGAGGGAATCTGACTAAAGACTTGGATAACTGAAAACAAATCTACTCTAGGAAGCAAATACTGATCCAGCCACTGTTTCCACCCAAAATAGATCTACTTGATTGACAATTTTAGAATAACAGGGCTAGGATTTTAGTAAGGTCTAAGGTAAAATTACATGAATAAAAAGGAAACTATTTAGATAAAAATTGGAAATCTGGGGAGAAATCAGTGATAGTTGCATGATGTTTAATTTTGGGTAATCTAGGAGAAAACCCAACCCTGCACTGAATGATATCTCTGTCTTCCCTCATCCACAAGGACCAGAGCTCCTCTCCAAGTGCCTCTGAAGGCACTCAGCAGACCCAAATCTTGAAACCAGTGACAACCTCCTCCTCTACAGATCAACTGTCAGTATATAGAGAAGTCATAGATGTTCACCAGAGATTGTAGAATATGTAAGTCATGGGAAAAGATCGAGAGAGAGAGAGAGAGAGAGAGAGAGAGAGAGAGAGAGAGAGAGACACTCAGTTCTGTAAGGAAGAAAGAGGGATGGCAGACTCAGGGAGCCAGGACTCTTATTGAAAAATGAGATGGGTTTCGTGGAAGAGAGGCATAAGTATGTACAGGTGGAGTATAAATGAAACATCAGAAAACATCAAGAGAGGGCCACATTCCCACACAGAGGCGATCCATCTGAGGACCCCTCTCTGCTTGAGCTACCCAAGGAAGGACTCTTGCTGGAGGAGGACACAGTGCTTTCTTCCCCAGTTTTCTCCTGAATCTATCCAGCGCACACAATGCTCCCTAGAAAATACCTGCTGAAATCCTTCCTGTCATCTAGAGATGGGCAGATGGGGAAAGACAGGTAAGTACATGTTCAGTTTATAGTTCACTTCATGGTTTCTGCCCCATGGTGACTACCATAGTCTCCTGTGCAGCTTGAATGACATATATGGGCCTCCATGGGTCCACCAATGTTTTGGTCCTTGGAGGCAAGCTGGTGACTCATCTGTGAGCAGGAAAAGAAGGAACTGGCCATACAGTTTAACATTTTAATCCCTGACTTGATTTGCCTTCTAATTAAGAGAAGTTAACTAAGTTTTATTTCACCCCTAGTAGAGTAATTTTTTGACTCAATTTTTCTGCTCACCTTAAAATTCCAGATAGTTTGGGATCTTGTGTTTATTTCTACAGATAGTATAGATTTATAAAAAGATACATGAAGGCATGTGCCTTAATTAGCATTACCAAAAAAAAAAAGTCTAATGAACAGTAGCACTCACAATTAGGTTTTCCAAAGGTATTTTATTTTCTAAATGCATTTAAAGTAGAATTCCACAAACTTAATGTTCGTTGGTTTCTCCCTGAGTCTGTTTCCTATTTCCCTCTTCTTAAGAGACCTGGACTTTCTCAGCCAGAGGTTGGACGAAAGGTTTAATGAAATTGGTTTTATCCTTTCAGTGGGATAATCCAGCTGTCCTAGTCAAGCCCAGTGAGACTGAAATAGGGGATTTTAGTTAAACTATTAAAGAAATCATGCCTTCCTGTTATGTACTACTTAAAGCTTCTGGAAGTTATTGCGGTACCATGAAAGGGAGGCCTCCATGTGCATAAAGCCACCAAACACCAAAATGGCAGAGATAAGAGGTATAAGGTAGAAAATAGATTCTAGTCACGGAACTGGAGCCATGAATATAGCTTCATTTTGGAAATCTCCCCACACGAATCAATAAATATGCTGATCTGAGCCAGTTGAGGTTAGGTTTTTCCATTATTCGCAACCAAAGCAACTTATGAAAATATCTACCATGCATATGATGACACACAAGTCTAAAACTGTTTTCCGATCACTGGGACTTGCAGTTTCATTTTCATAATGAAATCAGAGGAAGGATCACAAAATACTGGAAATACCCACAAATCAAAAAAATAAAATAAATAAAGGAAAAGGTTTTCTTTCATCTGTTTGCTAGCCTTCCTTCCCCTCCCCCCACCTCAAATCTAAAGGAAATGCTGGAGTAAATCCTCTTTGACAGAAGCCAAGAGCACTGAAGCCTGCATTCATTCTGCAGCAAGGTACTGAGAATCTCACAATGTCAAGTGTATGATGCCCTAGAGTGTTAGTAATCTGGATTTTCCTTTCTTTTATATGACCTTCTTAAATACCCATCATTAAATGCCTGTATTATCTGCTATCATTTTCTATTGAAGAAAACATAACTAGCCTGCAGGGTCTCTACCTGCTAGGTGAACCCTGGGCAGGAGTCAATGCCACCTCCTGCTGCCACAAGTCTTAAGGTCTATGTGTTCTCTTCCTTAATAATTGGGGTCTCATTTTTAATCTCCTATGTATGGCTTACCACTTGAACATTTTAAGTGTCCATTCAAGATGATAGAACTAATTGTTTTGTATCTGGCTAAGTCCAAATTTATTCCTGGATAGTGTATACTACACATTAGAGTTATCTCTCTATTCACGCCGCCCCTCTCCTGCCTATTACGGGGAGCTAGGCAGAGGCACTGAACTTCATACCAATCTTTCAACAGTTAAATGTCCCTAAGTCCACACAACCCACTTTACTGGGTCTTGAGACAGAATTAGTCCCACAAAGATTGTTTTGCCACAGGTCACCCCTCCCCAACCCTCAGCTGCAGGGCCCCAAGTATAACAACCAGTTGTACTTGTACAGCAATAGTGTCATAAATTCCTTGAAATTATTTTTTTCCCTCTCTCTCCAGTAATAGGAACACAGAGGACTGTGTTTTGCTGCTGTGACCACCTAAAGGAAGGCAGGCTACCTCTTAAGTTTGGTACTGTGCTTTTGGCTTTCCTTCTTTGGTGACTGGCTTGTCTCAGGGACGGGGATAAATGATTCCACAGATCCACAGTTCAGGCAGGTTGCACAGGCCAGGGTTGTGATCAAGCTGGCGCTACCTGCTGTCACCAACAATGTGGCGCCAGGGGCCACAAGTGGGCTACTGTGAACAGGATAGTCCCAGAGAACTGCTAAGGTCCTGCCCATCAAATAAATTCCTTAAAAACATAAATGTATTTCCAGGTGTGGGAGTGCATGCCTATAATCCCAGCTACTCAGTAAATAAAGCAGAAGGATAGTTTAAGGAGTTCAGCTTGGGAAACCTAAAGAGACCTTGTCTGGGGGTATAGCTTAGAGCTCCTTGGTTCAGTCCTCCATAAAATGACAAATTTATTAGAGAATCACCTCTGTCACTGGGGAGCTTACACTCAGTATCTCAGTGGGATGTACAATCCTCTACACACATTCTCACAATGAATACAATGCAGGACCTTGGGAAACACTTTTCTTTGCTTCAATATCCTAAAAACAAAAGGCTACAACCTCTGACTGCCAGAAAGTTATTTGACACTGTCTATATTTGAGAATAGCACTATTTGAGTAAAAAAAGTGAAAGAATTATATGATCTAAAGAGAAACCAGAGTCTCTAGCACTATTTTAAACCCAATAGTACTTAGAATAAAAAGAAACAAACAAAAAAAATGGGAAGGGGCTTAGTTTGCCAAATCCGTCTTGGACAGCATGAATGCCACAATTCCTGCTTTACAAGGTCTTATTTCCCAGCAGCGAAAAGCACGTGTTTCCTTGCTTCTTTTGGTGCTCTGGTTTGTAATAAAAAATTAGCATGGTTTTACAATAGTTGGACAGGATGGCCGGATGTAGGCCTATACTTCCAGCTACTCTGAAGTCTGAGGTCGAAAAAGGATTTAGGTCCAGGAGTTTGAAGCCAATCTGGGCAACATAGACTGTCTCAAAGAACCTATAACTGAAGAACAACAATTCATACTCCTCCCCTAAATTTGCATAGATGATTGTTAGACACACTGTATAGATTTTGATAATTTTGTAGGGAATGGCATAATCACAAACCAAGTAAAAACATACATGATAAAGTTATTTAGCAGTATTTTATGTGGTGATTTATCATCTTGATCCCATTATAACATGATATTTAAAATTCACAGGTCATTTCTAAACCCAATATTGCTTTTATTTTTAAAAAACTGTTCTGTCGGTAATGCTTCAATAGGGCAAAGTCTCTCCCAACTGAATTATCTTCTAAGAACTACAATGACTCAGAAAAGGTGTTCTAATCCAGCAGTAAGAACATCCTCTTAGTGGCAACAATAGACTGATTTTGCTAACCTGGAGAGAGGATGATTTATAGTTGTCTGTATTACGCATCCAGGCATTACCGGAAAAGACAGAACAAACTCAAAGATGCTTCAAGCGTCACCTTTGACATTTTGCTGCCATTTGGTCATATAAAAACCAGCACTCTTTTCCTCCATTGGTATGCGCGTATAGATGCCAGGGTGAGAACAGATCACACCTTCAAGCTTAATCCCTAACTTTTAAATATTGAGTTTGTGACACACGGATCTCTGGCCTCACCGCTGGGCTTAGGTGGCGGCCCCAGGGGGTGGTGCCGGATCCCGGCTCTCCTGGGCGCAGCGCGCTCCTCCAAGCGGTCCAGCAGGTGCCTGGAGGCCCCGCCCCCTCCGCGGGGATTGGCCGGCTGGGCCCCGGTGGGCGGTCCCGGGCCGGTCGGGATGGAGCCGGGGGTCGCGGGCGCCGCTGGCCGGGCTTTCCGGCCGAGGCCACCTGGTCTGCAAGCGAGGGCGTCTGCGGCAGCGCGGACGGCGACCTGGGCCCTGTGCACACCGCGCGCCCGTCCACGGCGCCGCGGGCTCCCCGCTGCCGGGTCCCGCCCTCGGGGCCGCGCGTGGGTCGGAGTAGCCCGGCCGGCGGGCGAGGCGCGGCGCGGCGCGGCGCGGCGGGGGCTGCAGGAAGCGGAGGCGGCGGCCGCCCGGGGCCGTGCGCGGCGGGGCTGGCGACGCCCGGAACCGGCTTCGGTGGTGAGGCCGGCGCGGCAGGGCGTCCGGGCGGGCGAGCGAGCCAGCGCGCGGGGCGGGCGGCCGCTGCTGAGTAATCCCCGCCGCGCCTCTCCGCAGCCCGGCCGGCTCCGCCCTCCCCGCGTCCCCGCCCGGCCACCCTACCCGGCCCCGCAGGTAGAGCCGGGCCCGGCAGCGCGCGGGGCCGCCGCAGCCGCCTCCCCGACGTCGCCTCGGCCCAGCGCGGGGCTTCGCGCGCCCATGGCCGGCGCCGGGCAGCAGCGACCGCCGCGGCGGGACGACAGAGACTCTGGCGCGGCGGCGGCGGCGCCCCTGCAGGACGCGGAGCTCGCCCTGGCCGGTATCAACATGCTGCTCAACAACGGCTTTCGGGAGTCGGACCAGCTTTTCAAACAATACAGGTGAGCGGCGCGCCTCGCGCCCTGGCCGCAGGAGCCCCTGCGCCCGCCTCTCAGCCCCGCGCCCTCCCGTGGCCTCCCCAGGCCTGGTCTGCAACCGGTTCCTCCGCGCCTTTGCCACAGCGCCTCCCCCGCACCCGGTTCTTCCCTCCTCGGGACCCCGCGCGCCTGCCCCCGGAGCGTCCGCAGCCTCCCCTCACTTTCTCCACAGCCTTGGCCTCCTTGGTGTATCCAGTGCGCGCACCCCCACTCCGGTGGTCGCCGTGTCCGGGGGGCCCTTTTTGCTTTAGCACCGGATGCCTTTGAAGCTGCAGCGAGCCCGGCCGGGTCGTGACTCCCTGCTCGCGCGCTGCACGGGCAGCCTTTGTGACACGGCACACACCAGCTGTCTGGTGCCTGCTTCTTCGAGCTAGCACCTTCCATTGCTTTGCTTCGTTGTGCATTCCTGACACTTTTATTGTTTGGAGACAGATGTACGTAATTGTCATGCCGTGCAGGAATTTTAAAAAATTGCAACCCAACTCTGCTAGCTCGTTTCTCAGCCAGTCTTCTAAATACTCAGTCCTGGAAATGAGTGAATTTCTCTAACGTGAAAGAAGGAAGAAGAAAATGGAGGTTTTTTTTTTTTTTTTTTTTTAAGAATTTGCATGAGAGTGGAAAGGGAAACACGTGTGTCCAGTGAATGTTTTGTTTGTCTTTTTAAAAAATAAAGCGAAAGAACCAAAGCCCAGGATAGCTTTCTTGTGAGTGTAGGAGGAGCTTTCCTTTCGCTGGGAACCCAGAGTGGCTGGTTTTCTGGTTGAAGAAGCAGGTTTGTGATTTGCCCTGTTAATGTTGACAACCCGTAAGGATTCCGATTAGGCGCTTTCCTGAACGCTTTTAAGGACCATATGCTTCCTACTAGTGCTTTATTTTAGCTTTGATGGAGGTGTGGTGCAGTCGTGAAGACAGCCATCCTGTAAGAAAACTTCTGCCTTGTCTGGCTGCTGCATGCGTAATGGCAAAGCAACTGTCTTACAACTGTGAACTTCTCACAGTTGTAAAAGAAAGCTCTTTTACTTTCTGTTTAATTTTTTATTCTTAATGGTACATATTTGCAGGGCAAGGGGTTTTGCTTTTAGGTCAGCACCCTTGGTCTGAAAATGAAAGTGCCTTAACTTTATTCAGAATATTTTAAAATCATGCGTATCTAGTTTCAAGCCATAGCTTCATCAAAGGCTGTTGATGGAAGGTTTTAAAAATTGACTTACTTCACAGTATCACTGTGGTAGTGTTTTAGCCCACTGAAAATAGGTGTGTTAAGGAAAGAAGGTTGCAATGGTTAATGTACTAGGCTGCGGCTTTTTAGACTACCAGTTTGTGTTGAAGAAAGGTAGAGAAAGTAATGAAAATAGAACTTAACTGTCTTTACTGACTGATCAAGATCCTTGAAAATAATTGAAATAAATAATTATTTTCAAATAATTATTATTTTCAATTGAAATAAAATAATTCTTATTTTCAAGTAATTGACAGCATTTTATTTTAATGGTCTCCCCTCACCTTCTACATGTATACTGCTTTAGTATACTTACATACTGCCTTGTGGTCCTGTTTGCATCAAAAACATGAAATTTTTGCTTTATCTGTGCAGTTTTATGCACTGTCAATAGAGGGCATATCAAATACTCTGATGTAGACAGCAGAGAGATGCCCTATGACTGGTATTTCTTTGGGTGAGGGAAGGAGAGGTGCCCAGAGAGGATTTATCCTGTGTAGCAAAAGCACTATCTGCTTGTGTTTGGAAATGGGAACCCAGAGATACAGAAAAAAAAATTTACAATTCCTATCCTCTGCCAAGCACAAGTGCTAGACAGATTCCTTTATATAGTCCCACTGTTCAGAAGATAATGTAAAAATGAGATGCATCTTAAGACAATTTTAGAAGGAGGGGTAGGAGGGTTGGTGGTGGGCCTGGACCAGCATACAAACACTGGTTCTAAATCAGAGGCTCTTTCATTTTATCCTCTGCCTCTCTCACCAAACTTACTGTATTTTGTAAACTTCCGTGTGACCTTATTTTTCCAACAATATTAAAAAAAATAAAACTTGCAGCAGTAGTGGGAGGAAAGGAAAGAGAAACTGACAGCCCCAACATCTGTCAGCTTTCCCTTGCCCCATCTGATGTGTTTGTGATGTGGAAAATGGTTGCATTCTTCCTAAGTCCAAAATGTGCTCCTCTGTGTTTTGAGAAGCATGATTCCTGAGGTAAGATTAGGAACTGTGAGCTACCAGGTTCGAATCGTCGTTCTGCCACTTTCATAGGCTTTTCAAAATCTGCTCCCTTGTCTTTAAAATATGACCACCAGTACGATGCAGAAATGTGGTTGTTAAAAGTTCAGAGGAAGAATGCATAGCATCTGGCACAAGGTAAGCACTCAATGAATGCTAGCCAGCTTTTGGATTAGATCTTGCCCCTAGTATTGGGTTCTGCTTCTGACTGCGCAGTTTGAGTAAAACACAAATACTCTGTATACTGGCAGTTGTTAGCTTTATATTTAAAGCTCACCGCACGGTTTACAACTGAAAGGCTTCAAAACTTGTTATGCTTTGGGAAATCTCTCTTCTTGTCCCAGTGGTGAATGGCCTGCTAGAAGCTCGGCACTGACTCCATGTGAAGTAACACCTCTAGCTCAGTTTTCCCACAGAAAAGGGATAATCAATGTCTTGCTGTGTCTCCTCTTTTAACAGTTGTTTCATTCCAGGGTCCCACCTCCCCCTACTGGTAAACCTTCCAAAGTCTCTTATAGTCAAACAAAGAAACATTTTGTGTCTAGTGTAACAGTAACATTATTATTATTATTAAAGAAGGTCATTTTCTCATGGCACACTACTGGGATAAAAAGTTTCAACAGCAGCTGCCTAATGAGAAATGATCACTTTGCAGAAGCCCTGATCATGAAAGGCTTTCTACATGTGTGGGAGGTGTGCATTGTGTACATCAGATGTCATTCCTATGGGATTGAGACATGCACAGCAGAGACCTGCAGCGCCCTGGTTGGGGTTTCCAAATGGAGCTGACCCTTTGCTTATAACTATAGCAATAATTTGGTGACTAAGCCACTGTCCTGCACTTGGAGATGCTATCCCAGAGATCAGGACAGTTTTGTATTCTGCTGTGAAGTGAATATGACTTGTGTCCCCCAAGAGTCCCTTGTGGTTAAAGGTTTGGTCCCACCGTGGTGCTTTCCAGATGGTGGTGGAACCTTTAGGCAGTGGGGCTTAGTGGGAGCCTCACTGGTCATTCTTGCAAGAAGATTGTTGTGTGATAGAGCGAGGCTGGTCCTGCCAGTGTGTTTTCTCTGAGCTTCTGAGATGTACTGCCATCTGCTACCTCATGAAATGCCAAACTGATGGACCTGTGGGTCTTGGACTTTGAACCTTCAGAGCTCTGAGCTACATAAAACTCCTTTTCCCAAGAACATGTGTGTCTGTGTGTAAGTTCATGACACAGACTGCCTAAATCAGACCCCTGATCTTGGTCTCAGGGCTCGGTGTTGTAATCCAGCCACATTCCCTGGTCATACACACACTGGATTGATGTAGGTTTGTGTGACTCACTCATAGTTAAGGTCCACATGCATTGTAAGGTAGACTGCGGTGAGGTGCACACAGTGCTAGGTTTTCTGTGTTGTGCTGTAGGTAAGGGCGACAGAATGGTAGAGAGCTGGGAGACTTGTCCACTGGCTGCTGTAGCCTGGAAGAGTAGAGAGCAACATCTCACCCAGCCAGAAGGACATCTTCTAGAGGAAGTATCTGAGTTTCCTAATGGGGTAGAAAAAGGAATGAGATGAAGAAGTAGGAACTGGGAAGAGTGGAGGAAGAAGAAGAGCAGGATGTGAGAGAGTGAGGTATCCAACAAATGTAGGAGACGAAACCTGCAAACCCACGGGCCTGGGAGGTGAGGCAAACAATGGCTAGCTGATGGGAATTGTTAGGTGGCTCTGTCTGGTGGCTCCTTGTCCACCTGCTACTCTCCTCTCACCACTGGTTGGTCCATTTCCTGCGACTCAATTTCTTTAGGGTTCCCAGGCTGTCTGGTGTCCACTCAGCTTTACTTTCCCCATGACCATTGTTTGTAGTTTTGCTGTCAGTTCTGTAAGTCTTGGCACCTTGGGGCTTTAGGCGGTTACTGTCGCCATCTTTTTCTCTTTTTTACTTGAACTATCAGTGTGGTTTGTAATCAGAGGGCTGGTCGGAAAGGTGAACAGTGAGTCGCAGGAGACGTTTGCAGCTTTTGGCCCCCAGGAGCTTTGCATTTTTGTTTGTGCAGGCCTGACTTGTGGCTTCCTTCCTTCCCCTACAGGCTGCCATCTCATCTCTTGTTTTTCCCCTTGGCATCCTCTGTGATTCTAAAATATCTACAGTTTTTACTGTTCATACTATTACAGATTTTTGGCTGAGGATGTTATAAGAAATTATATTTATATTGTCCACTAAAAGTATATTAAAAGATGTACTTAACATGCATAAAGTCCTGGGTTCAGTCTCCACACTGGAAGAAAAGCCACATATGATGACTATTATGAACTGTTCACTGATGATAAATCTGCAGGAATAAACAAGGATTTGATATGAAATTATTACATGGCATTCTAAAGTGTTTTTTCCATATTATTATACTTTTATAACTTAAAAAGCAAGAACAATTCATGGTAAATGATGTGCAAAAGGGAGTTGAAAACAATGGTGAATGTTTAAATTAAAAATGTATTACAGTGAAAGACAAATTGCCCTGAGTCACTCTCAGAATGCTCCCCCTTACTTTGAATGCTCTTATCACAGCATTCCTGGCAATGTGTCATTTTATGGTAATACGTTTTTAAAATTTAAAGTCACTGTATTTTACAATCAGTCCTTGTATGTATAAATGAATGTATGGATCCTAGTTGCTTAACACGGTTTATAGCACATAAGGCAAAGCTGTATTGTGTGTGGCCTTTCTTGTGAGCATGTTCACTGTG